ACAGAGAGAGAGAGTGAGAGATGGGGGACTCACACGGAACAAAAGACCTGATACCGCATTTTGCAATAATCGCAACATCAAACGAAGTAGTAAAGTGGAAATTATCGAATTAATAAAACAATATTACCGGCAAATTAGAGGGTGAGCACTCATGAATATAGCCACGTACGCACCCCACTCAACCCCCTGTACCACTAGCTAGCTCATATTTGTATTATGAATCTTGCAGATCGTTCATAAATGTCATGTTTTCAAGCCCGTTCGCACAAACGTGATGTGCTCTCGACACCGCCACACCGCCACCCCCCCAACAACCCCCTTTCGTCCTGTCCGAAAAAAAGTAATTACACATCAAACGTGCGGTGGCCCGGGCAGAAAAATGCGGTCGGAATTCATATTGTTTTCATAGCGTAACGAGCATGGCTGCACATATTGTCTGTTCACTGATATAAACTGTCATATATCAAGCGACAACAAGGGGGTAGCTTTGGCTTGGACCAAACGGCTACGACACGCGGGGTATCGACAGCATCGGTGCCCGAATCGTTCGAATAGAGTCGACCCCTACGACTTACCCCGCACGATTGACTATGTTAAATTGTACCATTCGAACACCCGCAACGGTATCGGTCAATTTTTACGCGAATTTTATCCGATACAAATAAACGAAAGCATGCAAAGTTAACTTACCTTGATGACCTTAGGGTATGTGCGGAAACCATATGGCACCGTTGGGGGGGAGGGTCCGGTAAAAGACTATTCTGAATCACATGCAGGGAGAGTTATTACTTGAGCAACGTGGTAAAGATTTCTGGTGAGTCGAAAAGGGGACGTAAAATGGACCAATTTCTGTCACCTTAATGCAATAGCTGGACTAAAAATGATCTGTGATAAACAGTTCTCAAATGGTAGAACCCTGTTCAAAGGGTGTTCCAGGATAAAACCATGTTAGGTCATGTTGGAAGAAGAAGGATCAGAATGTGGCTAAAATAGAATATTACGGTTTAAGCACCCACCTTACTTGACTAATTTTACCCTACGTTTATAATCGTAATGGTTGGAAAATACGGTGTATATATAAAGCAGAAAATAGCGCAGGGTCGAGTCGCTTTCAATAAAAAAAAGTTACTTCTGTGATCGCGAATCATTTTTTAGAAGTTCGACAAAGAAAGTTGGGAACGCGGCGCTGTAGAAGCGTTCGAAATGTGGTGAATGATGAGGATACCGTAGATAGAGAAGGTTGGGAATAACGAGCTATTAGAAAGAATAGGAGAATAGAGAACTCTAGGCAAGTCAATAAAAAATAGGCGACATAGGTAGGTAGGACACCTTCTCAGGCATAAAGATAGAAGGCAAGAAGCATATTAGAGGCAGAAGCAGGAGTTAAGCGGTAGACCTAGATTGGATTACTGTTCGCAAATTGTTAAGGATATGGGATTGGGAATATGCGAAGATTAGGTCAGAATAGGAAACAGTGAGGGTGCGTGTCCAACCAGGCTTAGGACTGACGACCTTATGTTGATGATGATGATGGTCTCTTACCTCAGCATTTTTCAATTGTCATATATTGTAAGTAACTAGTTATTATTTTCAGAATTTTACAACCCAATTTTCAAAATCTACATCTAAAAAAAAGTTTCATTCTATACCACTCTCTGTCTTCTTTTACCTTAACTTTCGTTCCAATTACGTATATTTTGCATGTCGTTTGTCTTCTATTGCCGTGTACGATTTTACATACATCCCTTCAATAGCACTATATCGAAAGGAAGTCAAGCAGGGTGTGAAGTACCCCCTCGAAATTTTTATCTGTCATTTAAAACGAAGCAATTAATGAATCTCAGGCTAATACTTTGTCCAAGTGCTGAACAGACTGCTTTAAAACACGTGCATTTCGCATTTAATGTTGTCAAATGAAAAACAATTGCTTTGACGATTCGTTTTTGACAATTTTATTAGATACTCTAAAATCCATATTTAAAATAGTAAACTATTCTAAAAAGAAGTTACCTCATAACTTGATAGCAAAATGTTACTAATTACACAGAGAAAATGAAAAACGAAAATTTACCTAAATATTTATTTATCGCACTAGCCCGTTGCTTCATAACCGAAAATAATAAAAATTACGATTTGGATCAGAATTTGTTAAAATAAAATCCCACCAAAAATCAATTTACTACGTATTTTGGTTGATATTACAAATTTAATTGTAATAATTAAAAAAACTGAACATGTCAAAACTGAGATTATTACAAGTTACTTAATAAATTCTACTATTTCTACAGTAAACTCAATCATTTCCAATCGAAAATTGTAGTTTTTCCGTTGTCATAAAAATTTGCATTCTAGAATTTTAAGTTATTCACAATTCTTTAAATAATTCAACATTTGTTAAATTTGGAATTCGGTCACGTTCTTCTGAAACATCTTCTCTTGTAATAACAAACATAAGGGTTTTTACTAGGTATTGTAAACAACTGTATATTTGTAATAAGAGATCAAATATAGGATATAAAGTAAGTGACCGATTGTTTTTTTAAAAAAAAATACAATAATCATACAAGCGAATCCATACAACACAAAAAGAGAAAAGGAGAAATCACTAGAAAGCAATATCAAAAGAAAATTTTCACGTTGACTTATCAGTTATCATACCGTTCCTTCGGGAATGGGAATATAAGCAAACAAAATTAGTATCTATTTGCAACAACATCCCTCTCGCGGAGCGTCAGGGGGCTTGTTGCGCGGGGTGCGGCAACACGACGAAGGCGGGCGAGGGAAAGTTACACGGGGCGGCGTGGTGCCGGCGTCGCTGACGTCGCGACGGCAGCGGCATACGGACCATAAAGCGTCGCTTATCTCTTTTGATTCGCGGATTAATTGAAATACTTGGCATTCCAACGCGCTCCCGCTACCCGCGACTTTAAGCAGCGGGCGCGATCGAAGGATTGGAGGAGAGATATGGGGAACCAGAGGAGGAGAAGAATTACCGGGGATGCTCCTCTCCGCAACCCCCTCGATTCTCTGCCCTACTCGATTTTGTGTCGATTATGAAAAAAATACATTCAGCGAACCCTACATAAATCGACAATCATATTCTCTTACAAATGTTTGTAATATCTTGTTTATAAAAAGACACCTAATTATAGTAATCATATCTAATAATCGTGTTGTCAGCACAGGGCAAAGTAGTATTACGTAGTTAGTATTAGCAATTTCTTATGCTGAAGTGTACGATGTGTTGCGTACCTATTTACAAACAATTCCTTTAAATATAATTTTCCAAACAATTTTTAACACAAAGAAAGTGATTAAACAAATTGTTCACAAACGTGGATTTCGACCACACGAAGCTAGCAGTTTCGAGCTCACAGTAACTGAAAGGGAGAAGAAATTAAGTAAAATTGTGCAAACAATTAATCAAAAAAAGCTTTATATTCGTATTGAAATATACTATTCTATACATTTCGGACTATCGTTACTAATTAATTAATAAAGGATATTCTTACAATTATTAATTCTAATTTGCATATTTAAACAGTTCTTCTTATCTAGAGCTAATCTTCGCGTTTCTCGAAAACTAGAGTAACCCTAACTAAATGCCAACAGTAATAACCTAATCAAATTCTTGCCCCCGTAACTCCTGTTTCTGCTTCTAATATATCTCCAACTAACCCTTCAAGTCTTAGGTGGTATTTACCATTCACAACAAACAGTTCTAAGTTTTTCTTTTTTGCTGGGCTTTCCGTCTACATTTGGCTTTACTTCGACGATTTCTTCTAGTTTTTCGTCTTCATTCACAAATTTATCAAATAGTAAGAGAAGGATAATATGATATGTACGATAGGTTTATGTTTCCATTATTGTTTCCCTTTAAATTATTTTTATTTACAATCCTTAATTTAGTCGACGTAAAATGAGTTAGTAATAAAAAAAAACATTTCTAACAGCAACTTGTTTTATTATTCTAGTGCATTACAATAAAATTATCACAAAATCCATATTATCTAATCATTATACGTATAACAATTCCAATTTATACATACCTAAGTTTTCTAATTGCATGAAAAAATAAATAAATAAAAATACATACATTACAAAACATAGGTACACTGCAGTAATAATAATCACAGAAATTTAATTATATTATTTTTTTGTAGCTGCACGCCAAACTTAAATCGTACAATTGTTTTATCAAAATTAAAAACACAACCACGTGTAAAACAAAGACAAATAAATAATCAATACGGTAACTTATGCAAATATCCAGAATTCAATTTGAGTTTGAAGTTTATATTAAGAATACAAAGTATTTTATGGGGGAATGTACGGCTTGTGCTAAAAGTAAGTAAAAAATACCCGAAAATTTTCCATCTAAAATTAATCAATAAAAAACTACGTCTTTTTATTTATCTGCGGAGTAAAATGTAAGGAGGGGTAAAGGTCTAGATGATGGCCCCCACCCCCGAAGGGGGCGGGGCGGGGGGGGTCGAAAGAGGAGGTCTCCCCCATCACTGTACCATAAAAAGTTCGTGGCGGTCTCACCCCCAAAAAAGTTATGGGGGTTCAAAGTTAATAAATATGCCAATTTTTATACATTTCTAGACATGTAAATATTTATATAGTCATTCTTAAACAATATTCAAAGGTAAAACTAATGAAAAATACATAAAAATATTTAGAAAGTTATATCAATAGGTTAGGTTAGGTTATCGGGTTTTGTTCAAGTGACCACCCTCTTTCGATCCCCACCTCCACCCGCTTGAAAATAATTATTTTACTGAATTTTATTTGAATTATAGTGTATGCAAATTGTCAAAATAATCAAATTTCATTTTCTATGGGGTTTTACTCAGGTGATCACCCTCTCTCGATCCTCCCATCATCTAACCCCCATAATTTTTTATGGGGGTGAGACCGCCACAAACTTTTTATGGTACAGTGGTGGGGGAGACCTCCTCTTTCGAAGGGGCTGGGGGCCATAATCTAGACCTTTACCTAAGGAGGAAACTGTTTATAAATATATATATTAAAAACCAGTCAGTATCGATTCAATAAAAAATCAATTATTACATAATCAGCCTCACTAAAAAATATCTCTAGGTAGCTACAATCGACCACAACCTTCGTAAAACTAATCTCTTTGTTTACAATCTAAATATTTATATGCATGTAAGTATGTTATAAATCAATAGGTAATAACAACATCCTTTTTTTTTATCGTATTACGAAACCCCCCAATGCTCAGCTTTCCATAGAAGACCAAAAATGTTTTGGGAACTGGCAGACGTATTAGGAGAATTATAATTTATAGGACTTTGCAGAACACTTGGTCCAACACTACTCCAAGCGTTGGTATACCTAACCGTAACAAAAGTAATGACTCAAATTGCCCAATGCGGTTTTGTCGAACCAGAAATAAAAAAAACTTGACTTACCTTGTCAAAAGGCTTCGATAGCCCCGTCCAAAAGTGGCAACCATTGGTACATCTTCATTGGACCCATCTACGGTCCTGGAAGGGCACCCCAAAGGTACCACGGCTTGAACTTCTTCTTCAAAAGGCCTGAAAACGGTTATGGGACGCAAAGACGTCCTTTCAGCTATTATAACACACCCCCATTTTGTACCAATATACAATTCTTCATTAAGAACCGCCATACTTGTCACCTAAATTACAATAACAAAAATATTGACATAAAATAAAGTTACAGGCACTGAAGCAACCATTAAATTCGACGTAGTAAAATTAAAAGGTTCAAACCTGGCAATTCGTTGGGCTTAAAGATTCTTCAATAGCGATGGATTTCAAGCTTTCCGAACAAGGTACCAGTTTAGAACAGTCTAATTTGTTGAGGATGGTTCGTCCGCTGTGGTCCCATTGATACACTATACACCCCGGTTGTATATAAGACCAGACATAATCCCCCGAACTGATCAAGTTTACCACGTCAACGCCTTCAATTTTCGGCTCGAAATGTGACACCATCTCGTGACCCGTCACTTTGTGATCTTTCAATTTATAAATCGATATTTCGCCCTCCGATAATCCGCACCAAAGTTCGAACGTTCTACAAAGCGAAAACATTAATCGATTTTTGGATTGGGTTAAATTCTTCAACTCACTTTTTATTATCTTTACATAAGGCACACAGGGCATAAAGGATGTGGTTTGAACCCAATTCCGTCATCACGAAACTGCCCTCGGCGGCATTCGGGGTACTCGGTATAGTTTCCGAATTCAATAGAAACAAGCGACCGTTGGAAAGGGCGCATGCAACCCTTTTCAAATTCGACAGAAAGAGCAATGCGTTTACAGACGTGCTGGTATCGTTTTCGAGAGCATAAGTGAAGATTTTATACCCGTCAGCACCCCTAGAATTATCGATAAATACGAAACTTGGCTAAATGGGAAAAAAACAACTCACGAGTAAGCGTGGACATGACCAGAACAATCGCCTATCCAAATAGTGTTACCAACCGTACACGCTGCTGTGGGTCGTATCGAAAAGTTCACGCTATGATACTGCAGCCAACCCCTGTTCGTTCCCAACAATAAATCCACCCTCGAATTGGCGCACATCAACCAAATTTCGGAACCGCACAGGCCGTCTTCTGCAAGTCGTTTCAACAAATAAATAACAAAAACTTTACGACGATTAATTTTATATTTTTACCCGTTATGTTGGTAATAACTGCACTAGTTGAAGCGACCACAGAAGCGCAATGTCTCAAAGAGACAACGTCACTTAAATGAACGAATTCTGGTGCACTTGCAACAGATACAATTTGACTAGCTGATGGTCGATCTTTTGGATGTTGAGACCAACACAAGACCATTAGATCCAAACAGTAACTAGGATATATGGTCTCCTGAAATCACCAATTTACCTCAGAAATCTTCCACGACTTCACTCACCTTCACTGGGCTCCAAAATCAAAGTAAACTCATAATTGGAAACTCGAAACAATTTTTCAACGCCCAATGTTGCAAATAATAAATTCATAAAACCAACAAAAATATTTTGCAGAACTTACCCTGTAAGTAAGGGGAGGTCTTCCTCCCTCCAAAATATACTCTTTAACCGATTCGTGTCCTTCGAAGGGTTGATGGAGGGTCAGCAATTCATAAATGAACATACCAAAAGAAAAACAATCCACTTTCTCGGTATATTCTTCCTCCCCGTTATACCTCATTATTTCTGGAGCCATAAAACCTTCAGTGCCGCCAAATCCTTTTGTGCCCGAAGGAAGAGTTAGTCGACTAATACCATAATCTGCCACTTTTATATGCACAGGACGATCAGGATGGTCAACGAAAGGTGGCGGCATCTCCCAAACTAACACGTTTTCAGATTTTAGATCTCTATAGATTATGTGCTGACGATGCAAATATTCAATGGCTTTTGCAACTTGTAGAATTATCGCCTGTAACGTGTAGGGTCCTATTTTAGCCCCAGATCTTCTATAATGTCTCAAAACCAAGTCCAATGCTCCCTGGGGAGCCAGGTCTAAAACAAGAGCCAAAGGACTACCACAAACACCTACAAAGGGTACAATATTGGGATGGCGCAACGACACCAAAATGTTTAGTTCTTGTCTCGCTGTACAATACGCTTTGCAAGCATACTGTAACGGGTCCCTGTCCCATTTTCCCTGGGCTGCTTTGTAGGCCACTAAAATCCAAATTATTTGGATCATGTCACGAACACCTAATTAAAGAAATACCTAAAGCTGATTGCCTAGCGTTGGTACCAGGATGGACAGGTTGCAACATCTTCATTGCCACATCTACAACCGTATTTGTTCCCCGATTTTTACAAGTGCCTTTGAAGACAAATCCGAAAGCACCCCTACCCAGTAAATGACCCTTCTTTATGTTTTCCGGTTTGATCAAATATCGATCGCCCAAATCCAAAAAGATCTACAGATGAAAAACCAAATGGCAATCCTTATTCCAATTTTTTCTTCTGTCAATACACTTACCACGTCCGGTGTTATTTGTGTCAATGAGATTTCGAGATGGGTGGGACAAACTATGCTTCTGCTTCCATAGGCTGCCAAAATACATTCTTCCACCATCCAGCTGTAAAATAGTTGATTCGAAGGGTTTGTGTCATCACCAGAAACGTTTGGATTGCCTTCAACCGATGGCATCCTACTGGAACCTGCTGAATCTGGACCAACTCCACTATCACATTCAGAAGTGTAAGATTCCTGGGATTTTCGAATCCTGTGAAGGCGGTAGGAAACTTCCTCTACCTGATTTAAAGCCTATCAAGGCCAAAGTTCATCTTCGAGTAAGATGATAAAAACATAAAATATTTTACAAACCTCCAAGAAATGCTTTGGTGGACCATCATGCGGATCAGTTGAAGATGATAGCTCAATTTCTTCAGCTGATTCCAAACATTTTGGACAAGGAACTAACCTGGTTACCAAAAATTTACCCTCTGAAGTGTGAACGAACCTAGTGCCCAGTGTTGGGTACCAATCTTCGAGAAGAATGTCGATATGGTCGACTGCTAAAGCGAGAAGTTGAGAAGTAGACTCGCTCGAACATTCTATCGTCAATTCCTCGGTCACTTTGTACTTGCTTAAGTCTACATTGTCAGCAAACAAGGGCTTAACCACTAAAGAATGTACGGGAAAATGGATTTCCAAAATCGAAGAACTCTGCATATCGACGTCGCACCATACGTCGTCTTGTTTCAGTTTAAATCTAAAGGCAAATCGCTCTAACAAACGAACGAAATTCAGAATTTTTGACTCACCTAACATGGCGATACATCGAGTTAGAAGTTTGCAAAACCTCTCTCATTTTGAAAAGAGTCATGTCCCCATATTTCAGTTCCAAACCCGTTTGCCATAAGATCCATTCAGCTTTGAAATCTAACAGTTTCGCCAAATAGTAATCTTGAGCAACCTCTTTTGGTAGAATAAAAAAAGATCGGATAATGTCAATTATTGTTTCATCGGCTAATATTCTCGTGATGAGTCTTGACCAAAAGCCAGAAGGAAAATAAGACATTAATAGCAATCTTGTGATCGATTTTCCTGAACCACGACTTGATATTTGATACAAAGCCGCTCCTGGCTCAGTACTTTCAACTAATATGGAAAAAAGGGAGAATGTAATACAGCAGAAGATTTTCTGACTTGCAGAAGTTACTGACCATTTACTGAAGCAATCGCTGATGGTAAGTCAAGTTTGAATTTTCTATTAACTGTCGAATCGCTGTAGAGAACAGATTTTGGAGATATTGTGATTTTTTTATTCCTTATCGCCCATCCTCTAGATCTGAGGGGTACTTTAACTTTAACCATTGGATAATGCGAGTGACCACTTTGGGCCAACAACATATCTTCCTCAGAAGGAAGCAAGGAAGGTATTAACAAAGTTCTAAAACATTATACGACAAAAAACATCATCAAGAAAACACTTAATATATTTATTAATACGCACCTCGAGTCCCATGTTAGGGCAACTTCGAATTTATTCAACAAATTGACAATATAATCTTTAGTCTCAATAGAGCCTATGTTACTGGCTTTAAAGACATGTTTTAGGTCTTCTAGTTTCATAATACCGGATCTGGCGAAAGGATTTATTTCTCTTATGGTTACCACGTGAGCTAGCATATCACACAACCACTGGGGATCCAGGAAATAAAGATCTTTTAAAGTTGCGTCGTCGTAATGTAAAAGAACCCCTACAACAAATTTTTAGCTATCACTGCGCCAAGTTGGAGTTTTATCAGGCGATACGTATTTGCCAAAAAGACCGCCTATTTCAGAAAAAATTGATCCAGATAGTGCATATTGTTGTGTTTGTGTGCGATCGGGCACACGTGTGTGTGAACGGCTTATCGATTCGCCGACTAGCGGCGGGCGCCTTTCTTCATGTGCGCCGTATTTGTAAATGTGTGTGTCGTACTTGCGTTCTGGGAAAGCAGTTAAACAGTTTAAAGAAAAAAAGAAACTATCCGGATGTTTCGAAAAGGTTCCCGATAGTAAACAAAAGAGTATTTAATGGAAGAAACGATCGCCGAGAGAAAGTAGAAATAAATTGACCGTTGCAGAAGTGAATCTAGAAATAAATTGACAGTGATAGCAGTGAAATAAATAGCGCAGTGAATAGTGATATATCAACAGTAGTGTAAATAAATAGAATAATTCATAACCTAAGTTTAGTAATAATTTAATAGTGTTTTTAAGTTCTTCAATAATTAGTGTAAATAAATAGTTTTTGTAGTTATCAGTATTAGAAGTTAATTTTGTTAAACCCACGAACATTACAATAACCACCAAATTAAAAAGTCAAATTTTGGATAAAAGCGTTCTTATAAATGGTTTTATGAATGGATCATACATGCTAAATTAATTGATGGAACAAACCATTATCATGTAAAAACAGTGTAGCCTGATGTAATTCCGCCCAATCCCTAAAAGTTCTGTTATATCGTTGTTGCAATTCCGTAATGACGATTGTCCGGTATTGATCTGCCGTCAGGACAGGATCTAAGTTGTTCATGCGCCGTTCCATGGCTATATGATTAATAACATCTTCCAATGCCAAATATTTTGCGGGAACCTTTTGTTCCAGCAGTAGCTCTTTGCTGCCTAAACAAAAAAACAATCATCTGTCCTAATGATGTAACAATTTGCGATTACTAAACGTACCGGGTGGTCTCAAACTGAACACCGTGTCGTAAATAAGGTTGCAAAGGAGTTTGATGTTATGACGAGTTCTGCAACTGATCTCGATGGTGTCGAGGACGCGAGGTAGTCCACACTTTTCTGCGTCCACGATGTTAATAAATTTTTCGCGAATTATTTGCTGATATTCCTCGGCAAGGTTTGGATTTGTTTCCTGAATTATGTCGTAATGAGTGCCCACTATTAAGACGGGAGAGTTTGGGGCCCTTGCTTGGATATTGACAAGCCATTGAGATATTTCGTTGATGCCTTTGTAACCGTCTGTTATTTTCCAAACGACCAGATAAAGACTACGTTTTGATAAGAAATACTGATGTGTCGCATAATATCTACAAAGAATAAGGGACTGTATACAACAAACAAACGAACTCATACACCCTCTCATACAGAGAAGGTGGGGGAAGGGACATTTCACGTCAAATCGAGCCCTCACTGGTTTAGTTCTGATAGCTTTTTGTCCCAAAAAAAGTAATGAGAACTAATTTTTCGCAAACAGAATAAATTTCATCCTCCAACAATAAAAATAATTCTTTGGTCAACAATATTATTTCGTTTACTTTCTGTAGCGATGTGACCTTCAGTTTAACCGGCGCAAAGTAAAAAAGAACAGCAGTAGGCCAGAAAAGGAAGAAGACAACTCTCTGCCAAACTCTTAACCGGTGAGAAGCGTATAATCCGTACAGTAGTGCACGGAAAAATTGACCATTTTATCCACTACAATTGCATTACTCAAATGTGCTGTTATTGGTACCATTTACTACTGAAAATATCAACGAGATGTTTATTTATATTTAAAGACATATTAAAGACTTTAACGCTTGTTTTCGACTCGCACTACTATTCCTGATTGAACAAAACTTTTGGCAGGTACTGTACGAAAAAGTATGTTTAATGAACAAGAGTCGAGAGTATAATGAACTTTTTTCTACCTACTTACGATTTTGCCAGCGCGCATCCAAGACATTGGAAAGGGCACATCGCTAGAGAAAGTAAATGAAGTATACCTGATGTACAAATATCCAATTGCAAAATTTCGTTCAAAAAAGTACCCTAACTCCAAAAAGTAAATCTTTGTAAGATGAGAGATAAAAGAGTAAATAAACTATTTACTGAATACTGCAAGGGAAGAAAACTCGTTTTTACTTACTCTTTCTGACCACCAAAATCCCAAGTCCTAAATATAACGGGCCCGTGAGTCGATTGGTTTCTAATTTTTTTCTCATAAATCCAATCACCAATATCGACCCCCACGGTCGATATGTTCGTACCACGAGCTGTTTTTACGTTTACATTTTTGTTTCCCATTCTTTTAGTCCAATGCTAGAAAATATCCTTCATATTTCCCGCTTCTTAACGACGTGATTTCAAACATTATGCACATATACTAATCACACCGTACGCAAAACTAGTCAATGAACCAACCTCGATAGGTTTTCGTTTTGAACTTCCCTCCTGTCTGAGCTGCTCCAAAAGGCTCGTCTTCCCAATCCCCTGCACCCCGACAATCATGAGCTTCATGCGCGCATAAGGTCGGGCATCTTCCAAAACCGACTTAAGATAACCAATCACGTCCATTGTTTTGTATTTTTTACTTTCGATCATCGACTTTAGTGGTTCTTGTAAAGAACAGCCGCGCGTATTTAAATTCCACAAGCGAGACAGGAGTCCCATCTGTGGTGGGAGTTCGTTGATGTCTAAAATTAAAAACGTCGCTCTATTTTTACCGAAACAACTGGCATGGGATGCCAAATGTGATAATTGAATTAGCTTTTTGCAGTGTTAGTTGCGCAACAGCCGATAAAAACTTAAGTACACAACACCTGTTTTTGAAAGCATTAAAAATCATAAATCAAAACTAATTGCAAGGGAAAAGCGAGTGAAACAAAAGAATAACAATGCAACAAAGAAATTTATGTTGTGTTTATGTTTCGATTCTAATTTTAATTTGTGTTTTAGTGTAAAATCTCACAAAAAGTGCGTAAGGTAAAAAGCATCCCAATAAATGAACCAAACGAATAAATAAATAACAATTGTATTAAATAAGCAGGGACAAAAATAACTAAAACTAGGAAAAAAAATTAAAATTACTTGTGCATATATTTTATTAATTTAATTTGCGTTAATAGATTATGCAAAAGAACCCTGTAAATAAAAGTGCATTTCACGTAAAATATAATTTTAAGGCAAACAAATAACTTCAGACTTACTAAATATTTACTTACCTAGATTTCCACTAATATTTAAAACAGATAAATTGTGTAATTCATAAATATTACATGGAATTTCTTTTAAATTATTATTGCTAACATCTAGCATAGAAATGTTGGGAAACATCAGTCTAGCTTTCATTAGAGCCTGAAAATACAGGAAATATGTTAAAACCCATTACGTATGATACCAAGTTACCCTTTCTGACTCTTCATCGTCAGTATTGCCTGAGTCACCGTCATCGTCAGTAGCCAGTTGTATTCTAGTTAATTGATTGTCAGCAAGGATCAACGTTCTTAAATTATCCAACCTTAAATGACGTCTGTGTGTACAAACGGAATGCAATACGACGTTTCGAATAGACCTTCCCCGTTTTCCACCACCTAAAAACCCCATCATCTTTTTTCGAAAATTCTTCCATGTTAGATTATTACCTGAAACAATTGGCATTTTTTCTTTCAAACATCCGCCACTCGCATAACACGCCAAATTGGCCAATTCCATGGTGTCTTGGGCTTCTATCTGGGGCAAGCTGGGCCAACAGGTGATCCTATTGTTACTGAGATCGAGCTGTTTCAAGGAACTTGGATAACTTGTAACATGGGACATGGACCTCAAGGAATTGAATGACACATTGAGGCGAGTTAAATTCACCGCCAAACAAGGAAGAACTACCGGAATGTTGGTGAAAAGATTGTGAGCAAGGTTTAGGGAAGATAGTTGGGAAGACACCTCTGACACCGTCTCATCGTTGTGCAAAATTTGCTCCGTTACTTCGACGTTTTTGTTCCAAATGTGGTGTTTATTTAACTCCAATTGCCTGAAAAATAGTTCTATCAAACGGTTGCAATTTTCTTACCAACGGTTTGTCCCCTAAACAGCTTATGACTTAAAATTTTAAACGATGATTTCGTGCAGTAACAACTTAGACTTTTCGACCATTTCTAAGAAAATTGCAATCATTTGAAAAAAGTGAAATCGTAAAACTGCTTACACAAAAGATCTGTCTTTCTTCTTGTACTTGATCCCTTCTTCACAGACGGATTCAAGACCACAAAATAATGTAGTGTTATCTTCGTGATCGCTATGACTAGACAGTTGACTATCGCTAGAGCTAACACTCATCTTATCACATTCTTCTTTATAAACCTCAAGGAATATTTTAACAATAAACAATTGAATGATACGCAGATATAGTTATTTAACTTACATCGCGGGCATATGGAAGATCTCTAAGTAGATTGAATGACGCGTTTAGTTCTTTCAATTTCGGGGATTCCCACATAGTGTAGGGAAGTTCCTGCAATTTGTTATTAGAAATTGCTAGCGTTACTAAAGATGGTAGTTTGAAGATCCCCTCGGGAATTTGATCGAGTCTGTTATCCTGCAGATACAGTTCTTCCAAAATTGGACAATTATAATAAAGAGCTTCGTTTACTGACTTTTTCCTTCTCAATACCTTTTTGGTTGGAGATTCCATTAATATTGGCAGCTTTTCAATTTTGTTTTGGGATAAATTCAAATACCTTAAATAAAATTGGGTTTGTTCTTGTCATATATTTACGAATTCCAACACCTAGTTTCACTTTTCTGATGAATAATTCAAGCAAAATACAAAATAAAGCTCAAAGTAAGCTAACGAATAAAAGGCCAACTATTTTTTATTATTTTCGTCCTCCTTTTTTGTCTTTTTAATTAAAAAACAATAGCAAATCATAAAACGAACATTTAAACAACGTCAACGTTGTTCTTCACATATTTGTAATAGAAAAACATCAGCAACACTTAAAACAAGTGCTATAAGCAATTTGAAAAACAAAATAATTCAACTGTATTTTTATTGTTTTATCCTTACCTTAAACTTTGCAATTGAAAAACAACAGGCGGTATCGCTTTGAGGCTGTTTTTCGAAATGTCTAACCGAGTTATAGCATAAAGTGCAATGTCGTAGTTTCGAGGATTTTGTTTGAGTTTTTGGTTCAGGTGCAGTGCGGCATCGGTGAGCCATTGGGACCGAATTTGGGATAAATGACATCGCTGATTATGCCAATTAATCATGACGGGAGTGTTGGGAAAAATCGAGCTGTATGTTATACTAGAAAAAATGCTAAACTGGGGAGGATGGACGTTTTCAGTCATGGATTTCTTGTTAATCTTGAATTCCGGATCAGGATGAGCCTGACAATCACAAATGTTTCTTATCATGCAACATTATTAGGTATCCAAATTACCTTGACGGATAACAATTTTGCTGTAAGTGTTTCGTCTCTGTTTTCAACAGCCACCGCCAAGGCTTTACAGTCGTCATCCCTAGCTCCGTATTTCAAGAGTAAATTCACCATTGGTATGTCGCGGTTTCTACAAGCTTCCATGAGTGCTGTGGACTGACCAATGGTAGAATCGTCTTCTATAGTGCAGCAACTCAAATTCTACAAATTATTGTAGCCAATCTATCCATAGAAAAAAAAAAACAAGAAACAAATTGGTGCTTACTCCATAAAAGGAGTCCTCTAAGACTTCGCTTATATCATGAAGACTTCTTATTATAAGATTAGGATTTGCGCCGGCATTCAAAAGCGCGTTTGCAATATCATAGTGTTTGCCCTTTACAGCCGCGTGCAGTGCTGTCTCCGTGTTATTGTGACAATACATGTCTATTTTTAAGGGACAGAGATATGATGTATTGGGATCGTTCTAGAAATTAATTATTTTACTTTTCGTTTTCGAAAAAATCGGCAGCAATTTGACGTGTGTAAGTACCTGCTCTTCTTTAGAATTGCACCGGGTAATACTTAGTTTAAACATGATCGACTGGATGCCATCCGAAATTCTTTTTGTCGGACTTGCAACAGAACTACTCTCTGAACTTGGTGTAGCCACTTCATCTTCGTCCTAAACATCATTGGTAAAAAAAAATAAATGGATAAGTAGCCCCCCCCTCACCCAACCATAAGCCGGCTAGATGTCGTTCGGTTGATTTTTGTCGCAACAATTTGTTTTAAGGTAATATTTTTAATGAAACTGTCAGCTTGGGAACAATACAAAAACAAAATAAACAAGAAAACAATTGTCTGTAGTATTTTCATTGTTTTTTCTCAGTTCAAAAACAACTGCAAACTTTAAAACAAACAGCCCAATTATTTAACAAACAATAAACCTCAATTGTTTTTATTTTTAATTTAACAGAATGAGTAATATTTAAACATAATCGTTTTGAAAAAGATCAACCTAGCTTTGTATTTATGTACCTTTTTAATTCGGGTCGCTCTAACTCGATATTTTAAAATTAAATGCAGCAGTTTGATGTTGTCCAGAAGACTGGCTAAATAGAGAATATTTTGCCCGGTGGCATCCCTTGCGTTAATGTCAAACGGCATGTAAAACTCCCAATTCCCTGACGAATCGCTACAAAACCAAAACATTTCGGACACATACATGAAAACTACGCCCAGAGAAAAACTAACCAAAATTTCCTCTGTATGTGAAGAGGATACGGAAAATTCAAAAGTAACTCTAACACCCCTAAGTGTCCGTTTATACAACAGGCGTGGATTGGCAACCATCTTTCAACAGTGTGTTGCTTTAAATCAAAATATTTATTTATTATAATAAAAGTTTTAAATGATTAATAATATTTATTACTATGTACGTACTTGTACTAATTCTGGGAATTTCAAAAGAAGCATTTCCACTATTTCTTTGTGACCGTGATAACAAGCAATGTAAAGTGGCGAATATTTAGTAACAGGGTGAGATTTGCCATCAGCCCCATTATCTAACAGTAACTTTACTATGTTTTTGTTTCCAGTTTGGCAAGCACTGAAATCACCACCAAGTCAAAAAAGGGCATATTTTTAATAATCAGTAAAAATAAATAACCCAGGATAGATTAGGACTAACGTATCATTATTAATTTGGATAGTTCTTGCCTGATAATTATTTTAATTGATATAATGTAAACATTTGTTGTTTTAAGACAGCCAAAATATTTAAAATATTAAGTATGTACATACGTAAAAAGTAGTGTGTTGGCCCCACTTGGGGCCATGTTAATAATAATTTCCGCATATTTAGGAAGGGAACCGAGAAGTTGCTGTACCAAATCGTGGTTTCCAGACGATACAGCATCCCGAAGAGCTGCATGAATATCAAGTCTTGCTTTTTCTCTAGAATCTAAAGAAGAATTGAACTGAAAAGTGTTTTATATTATACGTTAATTGTCTTAACTGGCCTTTTTTCATGTGAGAAGACAAAGGAAAACAAAATAGAATTTTGTACGAAAAACAAGCGAAAATAGCCACACGAAACAATTAAGAACAAAACATAAGAAAAAATGAAACAAAACTATTAAAACAAACTAAAAAATGAAATAAAACAAAAACAAATTATATGCTGTGTAACATTTATTAAAAATAACAATACCGTAAAAACAGAAGCGCAAAATTATGATTTTCTTTTTATTTTTCGATAAAGAAATACATATTTTTTATTATAATAAGTAATCAATAACTGAGATGTAAAGAGCTTAAAAATACAATTTGTAACGTGTTATAAATCATTTTTATGTGCACACAATAAGAAACATTCCGTAAAGTTTTGCTCGAATGCAAACACAACAAGTCCAATTGCCTTGGACTAATTTTAGAAAACCTAGCGCACAATATCGAATTTTCATCGCATTAATTGTATGATTAGTGGCTTTCGCTATCGGATTACGCTTTATTTCCGACTCACCTGTTCTATCATCAACTAGTAAAACATCATCTTCAAAATAATGACAGGCATCGACACCTTCCTCCGGTGAAAATTTAAACATGTTTCGATACAATAGGTACAAAGATTATATACAATTAGAAAAATATACTTAGCAATACTGTTCAAAAATGAATGTAAAAAAATATCACAGACAACGCGATTATCGTGTCTAATTGCTACCTAGCGCTACAATCACGTCAATTTGAAGTCACGACGCCGATTGGGAAAATCAATACCGAGACTTTCCCAAATAAATACGTCAGTTTTTCACCAATTATAATAACATTTATCTTTTTAAAGCCAAAAAATTAGATAACTGTGCCTACACATGGTGGTATATAATGGTACATACGGTTTACGTATTTTATTCCTTCAGAACGGATACAAAAAAATCGAATTTGTTGTTTAACATCACCATGAGAATGTAGAGAAAGACCAGAAGCAATATGCCGGTGATAACACATCTAACCATGCCCGGCAAGATGAGCTTTGGGCCGGTTCGACTTTCAGCGAACGCATTTTACCGGAAACGGGGTCTGTGGGTGACCTCCATCCTATTGAGGAAATAGTCAAACTGACGATGAGGTCGGGAGTGCGACGAAATGATGATAATAATAAAAAAGAGCCGAGGGAAGTTTAATGCGCGACTGCCACATTGATTTGTAACTGAGAGTCGCGTGTTATAAAGGTCGAAACACAGCGCAAAAGAACTGTCTTTAATAGTCAACTCTTGGACACGTGACATTTTCTGTTAATAGAAAACGTGACATTTCACCTTTCGAATTATAAGGGTAAGAGTTTCCCGAAACGGACTCGCGAAGAGCTCGATATTTTCCGGTAGAAAAAGCCTCTCGCAAACAATAAGTAAAAGAACAAAATATCCCGAGATGACGCAAACTATTAATTTATGCGTTATTTAGACATTTCATGAAAAGTGATCTCCCCAATTTAAATTTGAATGATACGAGGGCGGCAGATAGTTCATAATTTCGGGTCCTTCTTAACCAATTTTCAGATTTGAACAGACAGTTTCAATTAGTATCATACAAAAGCGACATGATGTCGTAAGGTGGTACCTATGTATTTTAATAAAAATATGCTTTTGAGAAATCGAAATTCATAACTTCGAGTCCTTTTTAATCAATTTTCAAATTTGGACGACCAGAAATTACTTCAAACCGATTTAAATTTGTATAATATGAGCCCAGTCAGGATATTGTAAGATGGTATCTATGTGTTTTTTATCAGAATATGTTATTAAAAAATCGAAAAAAATAGCTCATAATTGCGACTTTTTTTTAAACCAATTTTCAAATGTAGACGCCCAAAACACCACCGTTTACGGTGGTTTAAGCCAATTAAAGTTTATATTATAAAATAGTAGCATAGTGTCTTGATTTTTATGCAGTTCTATTTTTCTATACTCTTTTTATGTTTTCACTTCATTCGAAGATAGTCGCGCGCTTTTAAGCAGTGCCATCTACCTCTCATTCGACGAACTGTGACACCTCTTATGTTGCAGTACAACCCTTCTGCCCGTTGCATGTTTGCTACTTGCTTACAGGTTTAATAAAACAATCTGTAATATCTGTAAGCAAAAATTCAGAAGGATTGGGCGTATACAACACGACCCCCTAATTATTTTTTTAATTTATCTAAAGGTCCACATAAGTTTCCATATTGCTTCAGATATTTTGCAAACAATTTTTCAAATAATCAAAAGTATTCATACAAAGATCTATCTCAAAACTCACCAGCTGCCTCCTTTAGTAACATCATACACCTTGTATGTCTGGCTTTGTCAGCCAAATCAGATGCTGTCATCCCATTTGAGTCTCTGATGAGCATGTTTGCATCATGTTGGAGCAGTACACTCACATTGCTGCAATGACCATGCTCAGCACTCAAATGAAGAGGTGTCTGCAAATAAAAGAAATTTATTATTGACTTAATATTATTCAAAAGTGGTTGAAATGTTAATGTCCTACTTTGTTCTCTCCCCTAGGACCACATTGTATGTTGGCATCAGCTCCTGCATTCAGAAGGATCTGGAGGCAGTGAGAATTTTCTGTTATTGCTGCAGCATGTAGTGGAGTTCTACCCCAACTGTCTTGAGAATTGATAAATGACTGCTGTCCACCTTCCAATAGATCTTCTAATAATTCTATGTTGTCCCAAAGGGCTGCCTGAAACATTTCAAACATTATAAACACTGGATACATTTGAAGATTATTAATTGTGTCATACTTGATGTAACAGACGCCCTGGAAAATCCTCATCTTCTGGTGATGAGTCCAGCATTTCCTCTCTGGCACTTGGACCACAAAATAAAATAAATAGCCAAAAATCAATAAATTGATTCTTTTAATTTGAAAACCCACAAACTACATATTAAATGACCGACATTCGCACCAATGCGTGAAGGGACTTGGCTTTCACGATTAAAATATGTTCATTATTCAGTTTAAAGATTTAAACTTTTTATAACTCACTCACTGTTTTGATCACTACTGACACATTCCTACCTTGTTATCAAACAGAACAGAGAACAAAAACCAGCAGGTTATGAGAGATTGAGAGAAATCATTAGAGAAATATTCATGGTGTGGGTGGGAGAGATCCATAGACTTGAATATATACACCATGTACTGTGCGTTTGAAACTCAGAACATCTTCAACACTTAAATGTTGAATCTCATACAAATGGCAAAATCAAAAAAGAGGAGCAAGATGACCTCAAGCCTCACACACTCTACCTATAGTTATTGAACCGTATTTTCAACCTATATATTCACATATGATGATGATAGTTAGACCGGGTTAAGCGTAATATTCAGTATTACTTTCCTAGATAAAGTTACATTTTAAGATCATTAGGTAAATAACTTAAATCAACATAAGTACAGTTTGATAAATAGTAAGGAAAAGTAATACAACAATTTGCGGTTTGTTTAATAAATTATAATCTAATAGAAAGTTAAGAAATTTTTAGTTATGGTGAAGCTAAAGCAGTCGAACAAGAAATTACCCTTTCGAGACGAAATTGAGTTTTGAGATGAAATTCAGTAGAATTATGATCAATTTTCTTCTTTTTCTACCAAGAATGCATTAAAAGAGTAATAAGCCCCTTTACATCGTATTAAAGCATTTTTACCATTAATGAATAATGAAAACATATTCCATCAATTACCATGAAGATATAAAGAATATTTTACAGTGAAAAATATCGAGAAGAATTGTACAAATTTTCGAATTGTTAATAAATAGTATACCTACTTAATGATATAAGTAATTCCTATATAAAAGCCTTCTAGGGATATTAATCAATTAATCTCCTTCCTTATTAGGGCCCCCACCAATATGAATATACAATAATTAATTAAAAACTATTTCAATAAGTTTACATTACTTGTTAATTACCATTTTATTTTTTGCTGGTACTAGTAGTAATTAAAAAAAAATTAGAACNGAGGAGGTAGAGGAGGAGGAGCGCCGCATCGTCCAGAACCGGCAATGCACTCCTTATGGACGGCTATATCACAAGTCTTGCACCTGTAGCCTTGAAAAATATGTATTTTAGTGTAATCAACACAAACAAAATATGATACCTGTCTGTCGACGTGGGATCATCAGACAAAAACTAGTGGATAGATTTTGATCAAACATTTCTGTAATATCCATGTATAGGCAATATATCCCTGGTGGGTATTTGCTGCTAATAAAATATAAATATCCCTGGTCAATTTTTATTATAATATTTCTGATTTGATTCCTTTAACGCCTAGTCTTTATCTCCAATAAAAATTATCATATTCCTATTTATTATCAAGTTATTAAAGCTTTCATGCACGTAGACTGAGGAAAGGAAGTAAGACACGCGGTACGCATGCGCAGGAGAGGAAGTTTCCACTTCTGCCTCATTGCAAAGTAAGTGATAGCCGCGCATCAGTTGAACAAGCACTTCTTTCACAGCAGAAAGCCGGAAGTAGCAAGAATCGGTTAGTACGCAAAATAAAACTTCTGTCATTATTAACAAGAAAGTATTTATTGACGCTTTTATATGTATTATTTGAAAAATAAGTCAGTAAGTAATAATAAAAATGCATCAAATCTGCTATTGCTTAAGACAAGAACTATGGAAAATGGTAATAAAATAAACATTTATTAATTATACAATAGTAAAAATATAATTCACGGAATTGTTGGTTTTTTGAGTCAACGGAATGTAAGAATACATTTCTGTTATTGGTTTTGATATATCGTACATGAAAAAAACTTTTGCAGGTATATGGTGTAGAGTGTCCTTCATTAATTATATAAATAATTAATAATAGATAGTTCATAATTTCGGGTCCTTCTTAACCAATTTTCAGATTTGAACAGACAGTTTCAATTAGTATCATACAAAAGCGACATGATGTCGTAAGGTGGTACCTATGTATTTTAATAAAAATATGCTTTTGAGAAATCGAAATTCATAACTTCGAGTCCTTTTTAATCAATTTTCAAATTTGGACGACCAGAAATTACTTCAAACCGATTTAAATTTGTATAATAT